CAGTAGGTTCCGAACTCCCAAGGTCCAATTTCTTGTCCATCAATAACCCAACACGCATGAGTACGTTTCTCAATACACTCAACTGTGCATACGTTACAAATCTTGTTTTGGTCCATAAAATCACAACAACAATCTTTAGCATGAAGAGGATCTTTATAACGATTCCATGGCTTCATACTATAATCATGATTATGATCAGAATTGCCTAATAATTTTTTTGGAAAACTCATTGAATTATGGCCAAAAATATCCTTAGCTAATTTAACTGTTTGTTGTTCTCTAAATTGGAAAAAGCATTGTTCGTGAAACTGCCCTTTATCAGTTGACTCCGGCTGACCAGTTGAATATGTGACACCCTTTGCTTGCAATCGGGCATACTCTTCTTGAGTTCGAGGAAGAACATGTTTACATTCGATACCATATTCACGGCATGAAGAATAGACAAGGTCATTACACTGATGTAATTTACAACAATTTTCACAATCATTATCCCTACAATGCCAGTGATTATTTTGGCATTTAGCGTATAAAGGAACCTTGCCAGTTTTAGTAAACTGCTCTTCGCGAATACATTTATCCTTTTTAGTAAACTTTTTCTTAAATTTAAATCTATTTATACATGAAATACAGTATAATACTGTGGCCATAATTTGACAAAATCTATGGTCTTTCCCCATTTATTTTTCACTCAAGAGAAATTACAGCCTTTATATAGTTTTTATTACTAATCTTTTTGCGTATTTAATATATGCGTCACTCATAAAGTTGTAATCTAATACTCACTAACTTAAAATAGTAAAAATTCAATTACTATAATTGAAAATTGTAAATACAAATACTCAGCAATCAAAATTATTAAAAAAAATAAAGATCATATTTATTAAAAACACAGCATAATTTTTAGAAATCAAATTATAAGTGATATAAAATTCGGTTTTAATTTTCTTTTAAAATATATTTAATACATGTGGTCTACGCATAGAGTGTTAATATTATTTATTATACTTTTCTAACCATTTGAATTTTGAAAAAAATGCTTTTTTTTTAGTCTTAAAATATGCCTTCTTTCCATTATTATATGTAGCTATCCATCTTTTTTCGCTCCTGTTATACACAATACCATCTTCCTCAAGATTTGAATTTAAACCTCGATTAA